GGGGTTCGAGCCCCGGCCAATCCTCAGTTTTTATTAGCGGGGGGAGTATATGAATCAGATTACTCCGTTACTGAATAAAGTTGAATTTTTTTCCTGCAGTTTGGTTGGTGCAGATTGTGAAGTTTACAACAGTTTACTACAGTCTACAACTATTTTAAATGTGTTGGCCTAATTACTAAGTATGTTTTAGAAAAAATGTAAACGTCAACAAAATCAAAAGTGTCAGAGCCTGTACTTGAACCCGGGTCCTCTCGCACCAGAGTCCAGCTCCTTATCATTGAGCTATAAAGCCACAGAGAGTTGTCCGGTGACAGAGAAGAAAGACCGATGAGAAGCCAATGTTCCTAACCCTGCTCACAAGTGCCACCTGGTGGTTGTTTGGGTCATTGCAGCATCACTGGGGAAAAAATAAATAAAAGACGCGTGAATCACGCGTGAATCACACGTGAGTCTCGTGTGATTCACGCGTGAAAGGCGACAAAACGAAATGGGACCTACTGTATTACCAGAGGCATCCCTTGCCATTAGGCAAGGCAGGCAGCTGCCTGGGGCCCCCAAACCGGCAGGGGGCCCCCTACAACAGCTACCTGCAGTGACGAGTTGGCGGATAAAAACTTTTTGTCTGATGTAAAACTTGCCACGTTCTCCATGAACAGTTAAACCCTACCTGGGGACATGTGTGAGTTGAATGTAATGTGTATTGGTTAAGCTGCAGGACTTATGCTACAGTGACCTGGGTTAAACTCTGACTGAGACCTGTGTTTTGGATTAAACTACATAAATGTTATTCTATGACAGATTGTCAGGCCCCAGGCCTATCCATTTATTGTAAAAAAAGAAAGAAAAAGTATCTACATGGAATTAATATTAATGTAAACGAGTAGTAGATATTGCATTTTACCTTATTATTGAATATATATTTATGCCTACTGTAATATAAACCTTTTATTTGGTTATGTGGTCGTATCGGGGCCCCCAAGGACTCTGTGGCCTGGGGCCCCGGGAAATTGTTTCATAACTAATTTCAACTGTGATGCTATGAATAAAGGCAGTGTTTGTTGGAAACATGGTTATTATTAAATTGTATTCAGCACAAACAACACAACAATATTTGATAAATATCTGAGACCAAACATGGACTATTTTAAAGTGCAGGATGAATGCAACAGACGCGATAAGCAACAAGTGCAGATTCAAACAGAGACAGGCGCAGGAACAATGCAAAACGACTGTACGATATATATGTTCGATATGCTAATCCATGCTAATATGCTAATCCACTAAAACAGTTTCAAAACAAGTGCAAATCATTAAAGTGCTCTGTTCACACTGATAACAGCTTGTGGATAAAAACTGTTAGCGTAACGAGATGTCCTGCATCTCAGAGAGCGATATCTTCTGCCAGAGGGAAGAAGCTGGAACATGGCTTTCCCAGGGTGGCCAGAAGAGTCATTAACAATCCTAAAGGCGCGTTCAGACCAAAAGCTTCAAAAAGCTTTTGACGCGCTTCAACTGACGCCGGGATAGTTTTGTCATTTTGGTGCTTGAAGCTTTTGACGCGAGTGACGCGCCTGACGCCGGTGGGAGGAGCTTCTCTGTTGTCTGTAGTCAGGACAGCGGTGGATTTTTCAATGAGCAGCGAGCCTTTATTTGTTATATAAAGCAAAATAACGTTGTTGTAGGGCTTCAACAAAACATGCGCTGGGTTCACCACAGACTTGAGAGGCTGCAGTGTTTGCAGAGTTCCGTCATTTACTCCAGGAGCTGCGTACGGAGGAGTTTCGCTTTCAGCGGTACTTCCGCATGTCACTCGCCCAGTCTGAGTTCTCAAACCCCGGAGCTCGCCTCTCCCCGCCTCGCTCTCGCCTGTCCCTGCCTCTCCCCGCCTCTCCCTGCCTCTCCCTGCCTCTCCCCGGCTCTCGCTCGCCTCTCCCCGGCTCTCGCTCGCCTCTCCCCGCCTCGCTCTCGCCTCTCCCTGCCTCTCCCCGGCTCTCGCCCGCTCGGAGCTGCCTTGCTCTGAGCCAGACTCATCGTCAGCCTGTTCTTATTTTAAATAAACTACGTTTACTACACAGCATGTGTACAATGATTTTTGTTACTCAGAATGTTACTACTCATACAAATAATATTACTAATAACAATAATGACAATAAAACAGCAGCAGCAGATACATGACTTCTCTTCATGACAGAGACAGACCCTCTGCTGCTGCTGCTCCTCGTCTCCTGATTGGTTGAAGCCCGCGTCAAAGCTTCAAAAGCTCAGCTTTGCTCAGCTTCGGCGTCAAAGGGATTGTTGTGATACGCGAGCGTTTCGCGCGTCAAAAGCTTCAAGTGAGCGCGTAGTACGCGCGACTCTTGAAGCTTTTGACGCGCGTCAAGTGACGCCGGGGCTCTCGGCTTCACCTGACGCGCTTCACCATTCACTTTCAATGGAAACCTGACGCTTTTGACGCCGAAGTTAAGTCCGGTGTGAACGCCCCTTTAGAGCTTTGTTTAAAAGTGTGGATTTATAAAGAACCTCCAGAACAGGAAGCTCACAGCCCACGGTCCTCTTTGCAGAGCGGAGCACCTTGTTTAAAGCTCTCTTTTCTTTATCTGTGATGTTTCCAAACCACACAGACACAGAACCAACAAGTAAACTCTCAATGGTGCAGCCATAAAAGTTAAGCACAATCTTAGAGTTAGTGGTAAATTCTCTAAGTTTATGCAGAAAGTAGAGACGCTGACGAGCTTTCTTAACGACTCGGTCAGTGTTTTTAACCCATTTCAGGTTAGACAGAGTTAAACCCAGAAACTTGCTCCTCTACGATCTGCACCTGGGAGTTGTCGATTACGACAGGCAAATGAGAACTATTGCGACTGAAGTCGTGACCAGTTCACATGTTTTGGATGTGTTCAGCTGGAATGGAGTGGCATTTCTTACAGCGGCACAGAGAACGTTTTGTCGCCATTGAACAATGTGGCTTTTTACCAGAGACTGTAAACTTCATACGCAGCTAGAAAAGAAACTTAGGTTACTCAACAAAACCCTGGTTCTTCGAAACCACAGAACACCCGCGACTGTACATTACGGAGAGAGCGGCAGAATTGGAGCAAGTTATTTATTATTAATGTAATAAATGTTGTAGAAGCACATTCCTATATGCACATTGAGTTGAGTCGTTTTCTTTTTGAATGAAGACAAAGCATTATGTTTACTTTTTTCAAAAACAGGAAATTAAAACATGTGACAGAAGCACTTTGTTCCTACTTGAACTGACTCGCTCTTTGAGGTTCAATTAAAAAAATATATTTTCCATTTTACGTAGTTTTTGGAGGGTTATCAAGATATTTTAAATATATATCGAGATGTATATTTTTCTCCATATTGTCCAGCCCTAATGAACGTATTAATAAACGTAATCATTAATTTACGTCAGATTGAGGGCAGAAGTCCTACCACCAAGGATTGCACACATGTGAAGCACACAACAAATGACATCACCAAATACTTACTCAACAATAAAACATAAAAACCACATTTCAGATGGTTATACACGTCTCAAGTCCCACCCAGAACAGAATTGGCATTATTATTGGCTGCAGCAAGATTACCGTCCCTGTAGAGCAAGATAAACATGTTCATATGTAAAGAAAAGAGCAGCAAATGCAGTATCCCTATTATTATTTTTTATATATTTTTTATTGATAATTCAAGGTTTTTATTGAGAAGGACAATGTGTAACTACATACACACATATATTGGATCATGTTGTCCCCACTGAACATTGTTTTTTGTCCCTTTTATATAGTAGAATGGAATTTCCCACTTCTACCACTATATGACAATGTTTAATTGGTCCAGGTAGTGGACAAATGAATCCATATCACTTCAACGTAGCAAAAAACCTGAAATGCCAACACATTATTCTCAAACAAAGTGCAAACAAAGCCCTTAAAAGCCTTCTATGACAACCTCCTTGGCAGGACATTTCACTTCGCCAGTGGGACGTTTGCCAGCTCCGGTTAAGGATAGCTTTAGGACACAACAAGGGCACCTAGGCCACTCAAACCTCCTCCTGGAACCATTAGCGCCACTGTGTTAAGCGCCAACAAGGCATGGACAGGTCCCAAACAGCCTTGGTAATGAGGTCCTGAGGCGGGCACCTCCACACACACCCGTAGGGCTAAATCGCGCACTGGAACCCTGAGCCAGTGTTGTTGGGCGGCCTCACAGGACGGCTGGGCAAACGCGATCTGCACACATTGTTCCGTCTGGGATAATGGAGCCTTTCAGGAGTCCTCGGGGACACCTGGGAGCCTGCTCTTAAAAGAAGTCATGTGGCGTTGCTCTAAGTTGCTCAGTCTATTCTCTTTGCAATGTGCTTCACAGCAAATGGGGGGTGGGGGTGGGGGGTGGGGTCCCGTGACTCAGCTACTTGAGTTTCAGAAGGCCGCCCTGGGAGAGGGAACCAGTCATGTCATTATATGCACTGACTGATTCATCTGAATAAATTATTCTACTAAATCATAATTTGGACATAGCAAAATATGTTTTAAAAAGACAAGAACAGCCAACAACGCCATGGGCCTGATATATAAATACTAATTATCTCACTACAGGCACACAGGTAAGCTTAACTGACCGTAATGTTTATTAACATTCATTTTGATTCGCACCACAACCACAGGCCTACTGTCCATAACAAGCAACGCTTTTCTTTACGTAGCACTCTTTGGAATCATGGAAGGAAAAAAGAATAAAATGGAAACAATAATACTTGGTCATTATATCAAGTGATTTGTCCTATTTTATTATTTCAATATAACTTTGCCTTATTTACTTTATTTTTACCTTGAAATAGCAGATTTTTGTCATATTTGACAGAGCGGTGCTGTGAGGCGAGCCTCTCTGTGGGAGAGAGTAGCTCACTGTGGGAGAGTAGCTCACTGTGGGAGAGTAGCTCACTGTGGGAGAGTAGCTCACTGTGGGAGAGTAGCTCACTGTGGGAGAGTAGCTCACTGTGGGAGAGGCCCGTAGCTCACTGTGGGAGAGTAGCTCACTGTGGGAGAGTAGCTCTCTGTGGGAGAGTAGCTCACTGTGGGAGAGTAGCTCACTGTGGGAGAGTAGCTCACTGTGGGAGAGAGTAGCTCACTGTGGGAGAGTAGCTCACTGTGGGAGAGGCCCGTAGCTCACTGTGGGAGAGAGTAGCTCACTGTGGGAGAGGCCCGTAGCTCACTGTGGGAGAGTAGCTCACTGTGGGAGAGTAGCTCACTGTGGGAGAGGCCCGTAGCTCACTGTGGGAGAGTAGCTCATTGTGGGAGAGTAGCTCACTGTGGGAGAGGCCCGTAGCTCACTGTGGGAGAGTAGCTCATTGTGGGAGAGTAGCTCACTGTGGGAGAGGCCCGTAGCTCACTGTGGGAGAGTAGCTCACTGTGGGAGAGGCCCGTAGCTCACTGTGGGAGAGGCCTGTAGCTCACTGTGGGAGAGTAGCTCACTGTGGGAGAGTAGCTCACTGTGGGAGAGGCCTGTAGCTCACTGTGGGAGAGTAGCTCACTGTGGGAGAGTGCGCTGCTATCGAACTGTTTTCTCTGTTAATCGCGGTTTACAAAGTTCAAACATATTTCATTTAAAATCTACTAATCTACACGTTTATAGATGAGAGGATGTGTTTTTGACACAAATATGGGTCTTAATCGAGCTCAACCACGGCTTGTAATGTCAGCAGTGAGGAGCCTCTGGGGGGGGCCTCAGGGGGGCACCTCTGTGAGGAGCCTCAGGGGGGCGCCTCAGGGGGGCACCTCATGGGGGCGCCTCAGGGGGGCGCTTGCGAGCCAAAAATTTGGCTTAATACGATTCCATCAGAAAGCTCCTTTCTTGTTCTTCCTCTGCTAAGAGCAGCTACAGGTTTGGCTAAAATACTTTTAACACATTTTAAGATGATTTAAAATCCACTTAGGGTAATGTTATAATTCAATGTATGATAGAAATGAAAAGGAATAGAGGTGAAGGGTAAGAAGGTTGACTTAAGAAATTAGATGCACCTACGAACAAAACACATGAGCAGTCTATGGATGAGACGGGAGACACATGTTTTTGTTTTACTTTTTAAAACTCATTGGACTTATATTCAAATGGAGGATTACAAGTGGTCTGTGCAAGTTATTTATTAGGTAAAACACACTTGTAAATGTGCTTTTTCATACTTTTGCGTTTTGTATGAGCAAAGAATGGGCCTCATTCACGAACGGTTCTTAGGAACAGATTTGTACGTAAATCCTACTTACAAGGTTTTTACAAAGAAAGTGGCATTCACGAATATTTCTCGTAACCAGAATTTGTCTTGGGCAAGTACAAATCCTACGAGTCCTCAGGAGCACTCGTACGCATTCAGTGCCGACATGTTCACACGCCGGGGTTGTCCTCTTTGGTGAAGTTTAATAAAAATACAACATTCCAGTGATATGTCCGTCATATCGATGTATGTATTTATTTATTTGTAGTAATCTTTATTAGTAATCTTTATTTATATACCGCCTTTTTCACTGCAGATCTGGCCTATACTTTTTAATTCATTTTGAAATGAAATGTGCCAACGCTTTATCAAATACAGTGGAAATCTTGCCGTGTATTAGTGACCCCTTCCTATTTATAGGGGGCATCTCTTTATCCACGGGCCACAGAACAACGGCATATATACTGCTGCTGCAGGAGGTTACTGGGTCCGCGCTGAGTCTCTGCGCTGGTCTCTCCTATGGATCTATACGGGTCTGCACTGGTCTCTCCTATGGATCTATACGGGTCTGCACTGGTCTCTCCCATGGATCTATACGGTCTGCACTGGTCTCTCCCATATACGGGTCTGCACTGGTCTCTCCCATGGATCTATACTGGTCTGCACTGGTCTCCATGGATCTATCGGTCTGCACTGGTCTCTCCCATGGATCCGGGTCTGCACTGGTCTCTCCCATGGATCTATACTGGTCTGCACTGGTCTCTCCCATGGATCTATACTGGTCTGCACTGGTCTCTCCCATGGATCTATACGGGTCTGCACTGGTCTCTCCCATGGATCTATACGGGTCTGCACTGGTCTCTCCTATGGATCTATACGGGTCTGCACTGGTCTCTCCATGGATCTAGACGGGTCTGCACTGGTCTCTCCATGGATCTATACGGGTCTGCACTGGTCTCTCTCCATACGGTCCGTGCTACATGCTCCTGGATCCATACGGGTCCGCGCTGGTCTCTCAAGTCTGGTCTATGCGGTCTCTCTTCGGTCCGCGCTGGTCTCTGCGCACCGGTCTCTCCAGTCAGGTCACTCCAGTCTATGCGGTCTCTATAGGTCCGCGCTGGTTTCTGTGTGCTGGTCACTCCAGTCTCTCCTCGGGTCTGCATTGGTCTCAGCGCTGGTCCGCGCTGGATCTCCTCCCAGGGTCCAAAATATTTTGAGATTAATCTCAAAACATTTTGAGATTCATCTTTAAAATAATACATAATATATTTTTAAATTAAGCTCATAACATTTTGAGAGTAATCTCATCATATTCTTAGATTAATCTCATAATTTTGCTAGTTTGACTTTATTATCATAATATTTCGACTTTTAAGTCAACATTTTATAACTTTATTCTCAGTCTGGTAAAAGAAGAAAAAAGGGTGACTCTTTTGCTCCGTGTAACTCTTTGCTTTAGGCCTGTTGCTGTTTCCTCTGGCGTCTGCACACGGCCCTGCAGTCCCTTATATGGGCATTAGTGGGCGGTTACTTATGCTAAGTACCTATGCTAATGAAGCACCGGGCACGCGCGCTGTACTTACGAGGAAATGGGATTCATCAATCTGAGAGAACAGCTGCGAACAATTCAGCGGCTTACAAGTGCGTTGATGAATCCCACGTGGGGACTTCTTAGAAATCTACTTAAGGACAACTTGAGAAGAAAGTTGAGTAGTTTCTTACGAAGTTATTCGTGAATGAGGCCCAATGAGGACATGAAACATATTCTGCTGTAGCCAAACAAATTGTGAATAAGCCGCTCTGTAACCCTAACCCTGTTGATTTATATGATATATACTGAATGTTCACCTGATTGGGGTGAACTCAGTGCTTCACCAACCGCACCGCACGTCACTGCTTTGAGCCATTCCTTCATTAGGCTCTCAATCATCCAACCTTTGGCATTGTTATCCGCTTAAAAATAACCATCGGGGGAAGCTTTAATCCAGATGCCGTGCAGCTCAGAACACAGGTAAAATACGTCATCTCATGGCTCTTGTTTTGAGTGTAATTTACGTGTCAGTCTTTGAGAACGTTTTCCAGCTTTGGGCCATTTGATGTGATTACTCCTGAACATTTACATTTAGCTTTCATAGACTTTTTGCATTGGCTCAGTTCTTTGCGCTGGCGTCTCCATCTTCTTACCATCGATTCATTTATGCCAAGATTACTTACTGCAGCTGGATTTCCTTCTGCTGCCATAGTGACCGCCGTTCACTTGAATGCACCGGATCAGTAGCCGCAGCGTTCAAATTGCGGAAAAGAAGAAGCGGTTTATAGTCCGGAAAGTAAGGTAATCTAAAACTCACTAAATTAAAGCAAACCTAACTTGATTATTTTTCATATACTGTATCATTCATCAGTCACACGGGAGGAGCTCGGAGTAGAGCCGCTGCTACTCCACGTCGAGAGGAACCAGTTGAGGTGGCTCGGGCATTTGTTCCGGATGCCTCCTGGACGCCTCCCTGGGGAGGTGTTCCGGGCACGTCCCACCGGGAGGAGGCCCCGGGGAAGACCTAGGACACGCTGGAGGGACTATGTCTCTCAGCTGGCCTGGGAACGCCTTGGGGTCGGACGAGCTGGAGGAGGTCTGTGTGGATAGGGAAGTCTGGGCGTCTCTGCTTAGACTGCTGCCCCCGCAACCCGGCAACAGATGAAGCGGAAGAAGATGGATGGATGGATATTAAATGTTATATTCTATTTACCGTAAAATATCAAATGATAGCCCGGGCTATTAAGTTGAGTGATTAAGCTATTAAGAAGAGCGACACGTGTATCATTTGACCACCCACCGCCCTTTGATGCTTTCGACTTGTATTAGCTAATGTGTGTCTAAAACCCACAAGCTGTATATGATTTTAATTCTTATGTTCCCATCTATATTTAAATACAAGCATAAGCAATACCAGATGTTACAATAAAAAGATATAAAACATAATATAGGCACAACATTAAACCTTGTTTATCGCTTTCCTTACCTACTTGCTATGGCTCATTCATTCTGTAAATGTCCATAGTCCATTCTTGAGATATAATCCAGAAACACTGGGCATGTTCGTAATCCTCTCCTTCTTAGGTAAACAACAAATCCTTTGCTGAAGCGGTAGGTGCTTAAGTTTTTTCTAAAAGAAAAAGCCCAGTTTGTTAACAAATCCGCTCCTCGGTTCACTAACTTGTTAGCGATAGCCAGCTATTAGTTCAATCCTAATGCACACACGTCAACCAATCCAAATTTGACGGGTGCGGGATTTGGAAGAAGTGCATTGTGAAAAAAAAGATGCTACCTGATCATTCAGAATCAGAATCTTATTGCCATGTAAGTAACAAAAAAAAGTTGCCACTTTACCATTTGCATTGTAACATTAACTATTATTGCACCGAAAAGAAAATTGTATACGGCAAACGCCTCTCTATCAGAGCAAGGACCACTTTGTCCCAAAAACTACCAACACACTTTCAATTCAAGGTCGACAGTTTCCGTGATTTCATTGAAAAGAATGTAAGTGAGCACACTGTGCCACCAGATGATATTATTAGCATGGATGAAGTCCCCCTCACGTTTGACATTCCCCTGGGCGGAAGTGCTGCAGAGAAAGGGCAAAAGAGTGCGAATATCGTAACAACTGGTCATGAGAAATCCAACTTCACAGTGTTGTTGGCATGTCGTGGAAATGGACCGAAATTGCCACCAAAAGTCATTTTTAAATGAAAAACCATGCCAAAAGTTCAATCCCCCTCAGTTGTAGTCGGCGTGAACGAGGAAGGGTGGATGGATCAATAAAGGTGGCAAAGAAGATGGCTAAAGCTAGGCTAAATGCTATGATAGATCTGCAAAAGAAGTCAACCCCTCCCACCTGTTAACAGAGCTCAACGGCGCAAATCCAGACTTTAATAATAATAATACATTTTATTTATAATGCACTTTACATTTGACACCAAATCTCAACGCTACAAACTGCAGCATAAATAAAAGAAAACACATAAAATCAGATAAAGACTATAAAAAAAGTAGCAGTATGCCTTAGTAAAAAGATGGGTTTTGAGTCCCTTTTTAAAAGCTTCCACCTTAGGACAAAATGAAATGTGTACGATGGTGTAGTAAGACCAGCCTACGTTAACATACCAGGAAAGTTCTCAGTTTGTTGTATATGTGTCATATAACGTTCACTTATTCAGCCTGTTGATCTATTCTATTTATTTTTTTAAAGGGCCTTTCCAGATCAAATGTCTATTCTTGGTGTTGGATCAAATATATTTTCCCAAAAAATGTGACTTATACTGTTTTTTTCCATTTATATTATGCGAAAAATTTATATTATTTTTGGCTGGTGCGACTTAAAGGACAACTCACCCTTTTTTTTGTTGATAAACGGTATAAATGAGTGTCCAACAGTGTTGTGTACATATCTTGGTCATAATTTTCTCACTTCAGTGCAAATTAGTTGAATGATCAACTTTCTGCCTAAAACCGTCTGTGAGGCGCCATCTGCAGGCGACCTGTATTTACTACATTTGAATTTTGAATCTGGCCCCAAGACTGGTGCAGCAGTGATACCTGACATCTGCAGCGAAGGCTGACGTCTGCAGTGAAGGCTGACGTCTGCAGTGATACCTGACGTCTGCAGTGATACCTGACGTCTGCGGTGAAGGCTGACGTCTGCAGCGAAGGCTGACGTCTGCAGTGATACCTGACGTCTGCAGTGAAGGCTGACGTCTGCAGCGAAGGCTGACGTCTGCAGTGAAGGCTGACGTCTGCAGTGATACCTGACGTCTGCAGTGATACCTGACGTCTGCGGTGAAGGCTGAGGTCTGCAGTGAAGGCTGACGTCTGCAGTGAAGGCTGACATCTGCAGTGAAGGCTGACGTCTGCAGTGAAGGCTGACGTCTGCAGTGAAGGCTGACGTCTGCAGCGAAGGCTGACGTCTGCAGTGAAGGCTGACGTCTGCAGTGAAGGCTGACGTCTGCAGCGAAGGCTGACGTCTGCAGTGAAGGCTGACGTCTGCAGTGAAGGCTGACGTCTGCAGTGATGGCTGACGTCTGCAGTGAAGGCTGACGTCTGCAGTGAAGGCTGACGTCTGCAGTGAAGGCTGACGTCTGCAGTGATACCTGACGTCTGCAGTGAAGGCTGACGTCTGCAGTGAAGGCTGACGTCTGCAGTGAAGGCTGACGTCTGCAGTGATACCTGACGTCTGCAGTGAAGGCTGACGTCTGCAGTGATACCTGACGTCTGCAGTGAAGGCTGACGTCTGCAGTGATACCTGACGTCTGCAGTGAAGGCTGACGTCTGCAGTGATACCTGACGTCTGCAGTGAAGGCTGACGTCTGCAGTGATACCTGACGTCTGCAGTGAAGGCTGACGTCTGCAGTGATACCTGACGTCTGCAGTGAAGGCTGACGTCTGCAGTGATACCTGACGTCTGCAGTCAAGGCTGACGTCTGCAGTGATGGCTGACGTCTGCAGTTATACCTGACGTCTGCAGTGAAGACTGACGTCTGCAGTGAAGGCTGACGTCTGCAGTGATACCTGACGTCTGCAGTGAAGGCTGACGTCTGCAGTGATACCTGACGTCTGCAGTGATGGCTGACGTCTGCAGTGATACCTGACGTCTGCAGTGATGGCTGACGTCTGCAGTGATACCTGACGTCTGCAGTGAAGACTGACGTCTGCAGTGAAGGCTGACGTCTGCAGTGATACCTGACGTCTGCAGTGAGTGGCTGACGTCTGCAGTGATACCTGACGTCTGCAGTGAAGGCTGACGTCTGCAGTGATACCTGACGTCTGCGGTGAAGGCTGATGTCTGCAGTGAAGGCTGACGTCTGCAGTGAAGGCTGACATCTGCAGTGAAGGCTGACATCTGCAGTGAAGGCTGACGTCTGCAGTGAAGGCTGACGTCTGCAGTGAAGGCTGACGTCTGCGGTGAAGGCTGACGTCTGCAGTGATACCTGACGTCTGCAGTGAAGGCTGACGTCTGCAGTGATACCTGACGTCTGCAGTGAAGGCTGACGTCTGCAGTGAAGGCTGACGTCTGCAGTGATACCTGACGTCTGCAGTGAAGGCTGACGTCTGCAGTGATACCTGACGTCTGCAGTGAAGGCTGACGTCTGCAGTGAAGGCTGACGTCTGCAGTGAAGGCTGACGTCTGCAGTGATACCTGACGTCTGCAGTGAAGGCTGACGTCTGCAGTGATACCTGACGTCTGCAGTCAAGGCTGACGTCTGCAGTGATGGCTGACGTCTGCAGTGATACCTGACGTCTGCAGTGAAGGCTGACGTCTGCAGTGATACCTGACGTCTGCAGTGATGGCTGACGTCTGCAGTGATACCTGACGTCTGCAGTGAAGGCTGACGTCCGCAGTCAAGGCTGACGTCTGCAGCAAAGGCTGACGTCTGCAGTGATACCTGAGGTTTGCAGTGAAGGCTGACGTCTGCAGTGATACTTGCGACTGCAGCGATACCTGACGTCTGCAGTGAAGGCTGACGTCTGCAGTGAAGGCTGATGTCTGCAGTGATACCTGACGTCTGCGGTGAAGGCTGACGTCTGCAGTGAAGGCTGACGTCTGCAGTGATACCTGACGTCTACGGTGATACCTGACGTCTGCGGTGAAGGCTGACGTCTGCCGTGAAGGCTGACGTCTGCAGTGATACCTGACGTCCGCGGTGAAGGCTGACGTCTGCAGTGATACCTGACGTCTATGGTGATACCTGACGTCTGCAGTGAAGGCTGACATCTGCAGTGAAGGCTGACATCTGCAGTGAAGGCTGACGTCTGCAGTGAAGGCTGACGTCTGCAGTGAAGGCTGACGTCTGCAGTGAAGGCTGACGTCTGCAGTGATACCTGGCGTCTGCAGTGAAGGCTGACGTCTGCAGTGAAGGCTGGCGTCTGCAGTGAAGGCTGACGTCTGCAGTGAAGGCTGACGTCTGCAGTGAAGGCTGACGTCTGCAGTGAAGGCTGACGTCTGCAGTGAAGGCTGACGTCTGCAGTGAAGGCTGACGTCTGCAGTGATACCTGACGTCTGCGGTGAAGGCTGACGTCTGCAGTGATACCTGACGTCTGCGGTGAAGGCTGACGTCTGCAGTGAAGGCTGACGTCTGCAGTGAAGGCTGACGTCTGCAGTGAAGGCTGACGTCTGCGGTGAAGGCTGACGTCTGCAGTGAAGGCTGACGTCTGCAGTGATACCTGACGTCTGCAGTGATACCTGACGTCTGCAGTGATACCTGACGTCTGCGGTGAAGGCTGACGTCTGCAGTGATACCTGACGTCTGCGGTGAAGGCTGACGTCTGCAGTGAAGGCTGACGTCTGCAGTGAAGGCTGACGTCTGCGGTGAAGGCTGACGTCTGCAGTGAAGGCTGACGTCTGCAGTGAAGGCTGACGTCTGCAGTGAAGGCTGACGTCTGCAGTGAAGGCTGACGTCTGCAGTGAAGGCTGACGTCTGCAGTGAAGGCTGACGTCTGCGGTGAAGGCTGACGTCTGCAGTGAAGGCTGACGTCTGCAGTTATACCTGACGTCTGCAGTCAAGGCTGACATCTGCAGTGATACCTGACGTCTGCAGTCAAGGCTGACATCTGCAGTGATACCTGACGTCTGCAGTCAAGGCTGACATCAGTTGCCCTGCTGCCCTGGGGTCTATAACCAGCCCTGTCTTGTTCACGCCCCCGTAGCGAGTTGGAGAAGGAATAGTATTTTCATTGATTGTCAGATTAGTTTTAGCATTTAGGTAGATTTTTATTAGCATAGCTGTTTGTATTATAGATAATTGTGTAGTGTTAATAGCGTTGTTGTTGAATATTGTAGTTTTAGTCATTAGTTGTTTTTATTGTTAGTTGAAGCTCAATTTAGCTGAGGACTTTTATTGTTATATTGTGTGCAATTTCATTGTTTATTGTTTATTATGCTTGCGTGTTGTTGAAATGAAACAGGCCCCATTCTGTTGCGGTCTGCTGCCTCCACAGCCTCGGAAGCCGGACCGGTCACCCATAAATGAAGGACACGAGGCTGATCGCGCCTCACAAGTCAATGCAAAGTTGTGGGTCTTACAGACTCTGTTTGTGCTCTCGCAATCACATCAAAACTTTTTTTGACTCTTGTTTGAAAAAATAAAGCCGGAAGTCCGTCCATTTTAATAGTCTAATAGTTTAATAGCCTTGTGCGCACTGCCCTTTGCCTAAATTTCTATTAGTCAAATGGATCCCAAAATGGCACCTATAATGAGACATGCTTACGAAATGAATTTTAAGCTAAGCGATCAGTCACGCAGTTGAACATGGTAATAGCCAGCGGCGTTCCAAGGGTACCCCGGGGCCTCAGGCAACAGAGTATATACAGTAGGTATAAATATATATTTAATAATAAGGTAAAATGCAATATCGATTACTCGTTTACATTAATATAAATTAAATTTTGATAATTTCTTATTTTTAACAATAAATGTCCTTGCAAATAGCTTGGTTCGCTATTGTTTTTGTTCTGAAGAGGAGAAAGTAACAAGAGTAAATGGGACCACTTTGGTGTCCCGGGCAACTCCTGTGAGATTTCCGTCATGTGGTTGGATGCGGGATTACAACATTCTCTTCAAGACTACGCAGGGGGGTACAAGCAACTGGGACTGCGTAGGTTCAGCGCAACCGCCAACGTAACTAACACCGCAACATAGCACAGAGAAGGCAAACAGGCAAAGTGGCGAAAGCGATATAGAGCCAATATCTCAATAATGTCAAAAAGCTTTTCGTCAAAGTTACTTTCATGATATTATCGCCCACCCCTAGTGTTCACTGATAATTCAAATTTAAAGTGACATTATTTTGTTTTAAAAAAGAAAAGATGTATGGGGCTTGCACAATCATATTGAAAATGCCCTACTGACCACTGAATGCTAATATATTGCCCAACTGTGTGTAATCTAATCTCTTAGAGCTGTTCTGCGACGGCCTCATAGCTATGTTTAGAGGGTATTGGTCCCACACAGAAGTACGTCCAAGGAGCGTACCAGAGAAGTCTGCGATAAAGCAGAGAAGAGTTATTGATTGTGACTTGACACCTACTTACACTGAGTGCGTTTACAAAGCACTAGTGAAAATAAAAAAACCTCTTATTTAATTTGATTTTGCATGAAAACCTGTGCGTGCCAATTGAGGGTAAAAACCCAGTCCATTTCAAGGTGCTAGAGCGCACAAATTCTATCACTGTTGAGCTCAGTGTGCAAAATATTTAAATACTTCAAAATACCCCCTAAATCAATATTCAGGGGGGTCCCTAAATTATTTTCACTCACACTCACGCTTCACTTGCTGCACAGAATGTAAAAACAGTAGTGATCGGAAAACAATACGAGTTTCTGGAGCATGTGTCACTCTTCCTGAGGCAAACTTCTTCGAAACACTGCGTTGAAGCGTGTGTCAAAACAAGCCGGTCACGTGGCAAGTGTGTCAAAGCGTTTCATTGGCTCAATGAGTTTCCCTGCTTCAATCAATCTTTCTCTAAAACACTAAAAACGGCCTCTTACCTTGAGTTAAAATGACCAAAAATGCCTCGGCTATACTTCTTTTTTGGGTCTTTCACAGTTTCCTGTCTTCGTCACTCTTAAACAACATGTTGCGCATCGGAAAAGCCTTTCTCGCTTGACGTGGGGAGAATATGTGCGACTTCTGTTCAGCTTGGAGAGGGCCTACCACACCGGCAGCTTCATCTGATGTCACTTTTTGAAGACGTGACAAACCCAAAATGACCTTGTGGTACGGACTGTAGGTGACGCTTGTTGTTAGCTATTTTCAACAACATTAAGGTGACGTCGGCTACGTCTTTGTTCTGTTGGCCGCCTGGTTAATCTATCACCATTCAATACTATTCAACTTTAATAGTTGTTAAGCACCATCGCTAAACAAAAAAACTGCCACAGTGCAATCCTAAAATGTCCGAAAAAGTGTCAACTTTCTTCCTCCATCTATCCATCTTCTTCCTCTTTATCCATTTCTGGGAGTTGAAAGATCAACTTTCCGAGCTAGGTTCTTCAGGGACACTATCCCCTTAATAATAGAGCCTATCTTGAGAATAGGAGTAAATCGTATTGTATCGTATTGTATCGCTGACAGGACTGAATGTATCGCATTGTCTGGGCAGGGGCCTTAGTGTATCGTTACTGTATTGCATTGGGGATCAAGTATCGAGATGTGAATCAAATCGGCCTCTGAGTAGTAATTTTAAGAAATGCATGTAGATTTATTTTTTATGGATGCTTACAAAGTTTAGTTTAAAGTTTAGTTTATTCACAATTCACACAGTCCCTAAAAGTACATGTGTTACATTGTGAAAATGGAACTCCCAGAAGCAGAAGCTTTTACATTAGGGGTCCATCACACCACCACCACCACCACCACCACAGTCACAAACCTACAGTCAAACATACAATCATCATAATATAAATAATAATAAAAATAAAAATAATAAATAATAGTAATAATAATAAAAAGTAACTAGTGCTCCCAGAATACATAAGTAAATAATAATAATGACAGTAAAGATAATAATCCTAAATCAATAACAATAATAGTTAAATAAAGAATAAGAAATAATAACATCTTCACCACACTTCAAGGAAGTACAGAACACTTTGGCAGGCGAAACTGCTGAATGCTCATCTCCACTACCAATAATAATTTTATAGTAATGATAAGAATAATATTTAATGTATTCCTAATATATAGTTGTAAGTGTTTGCAGCTGGAGTTTACTGTAGGGTAACTTCTGCCAGCCCTGAGATCATGGCTGTGAAAAAGAGATCTACCTCTCGCCTCAAACAGATACAAGGTAGAGAGTGGTTTCAGACTCTTTGTGCTTCAACGCTTTCATGCTGTCACATACCTCCCCAGTAGATGAGCCTTCAGTTCCCTCTTAAATTTGGATAATGTGGCACATTGCTTTAGGTTACTATCCAACTCATTCCATGTAGTTGGGCCTTTGTGGCAAATACTAAAACTTGTGCATTTTAATTTTCTGTATTTCCCTTTAGGCAGCAGTTTGTTCCTAGTATTATGTTGGTGTGATGGTAAATATAATGGAATGAGTTCACACAATCGAACATTTAACTTATTAACCACCCTATACATTGTGCACGCATTATGGTAGAGATTAACTTCAGGCAACTTCAATAGACCGTATCTATGGAAGAGAACATCTGTGGGAGCATGACCCAAGGACCAAGAAAGTGCTCTTATGGCTTTCTTTTGTAATATTTGAAGTTTAGACATGTACGTGGGGTAGGTATTATTCCATATGATATTACAGTAATTCAAATGAGGCTCGAACAGAGATCTATACAAGGACAGTAAAGCTTCTAAGGGAAGAAACTGTCTCACTTTAAACAATAAACCTACAATTTTTGACAATTTTTTAACAAGCTCATCAAGATGCTTTTTAAAATTTGTAAATTGATCTATATGGATTCCTAAGAATTTTATAACTTCAACTTTATTAATGGTTTTACTATCAATGGTTATATTAATATTTGGGTCGTGGTACAAATGACTATTTGAGTGAAAGATCATATAAGAAGTCTTGTTGAGATTAAGTGACAATTTATTGCATCTGAACCAGTTATTTACTTTGATGAGTTGCTCATTTAGGGAGTTTTCAAGGTGATCGATGCGTTTATGCGACATAAACAAATTTGTGTCATCTGCAAAAAGTATTCGATGAATATCACAAGAATTTCCAAAATCATTAATGTAGATAATAAATAATAGGGGCCCTAGTATAGATCCCTGGGGAACACCAAATGTTATGTTTTCCAGTTGAGAGTCAGACCCATCTATGTTCACGTACTGTTGTCTACCATAGACATAGTCCCTAAACCACTGGAGAGCTACACCCCGGACGCCATAGTGAGAGAGTTTACCAAGTAAGACTTGAAAGTCAATCGAGTCAAATGCTTTGGAAAGGTCGAGAAAAACCCCAACACCAATTTCTCTACCCTCAAGAGCATTGTTGATTTTTTCAACTAGATCTAATATGGCCATATACGTGCTGCTGCTTTTCCTGAAGCCATATTGTGAAGGATCCAGTATGTTGTGTTTGTTTAAATAATCTAGTAATCTATCATAAACTACTCGTTCCAAAATTTTGGACAGGGTGGGCAGAATAGATATGGGTCTGTAGTTGTGTATGTCATTTTTGTCCCCTGACTTATATATAGGTATTATTTTCGCCACCTTAGTTTGTTCAGGGACAATGCCTTGTTGTAAAGATAGATTAATTATATGAGTCACTGGTTCAGCTATTTCATTCACAATGGCTTTCAAGATTTTGCTGCAAATGCCATCAGCACCAGCTGTATATGAACATTTCATTTTATTTATTATATTGGTTACTTCCATTTTGCAGGTAGGTCTGAGGTAGCAGGAGCTAGAGTAATTGTTTGTCAAAAAATCCTTATAATTTACACCCCCTGGTGGGCAAATTTGTTGGGACAGCTCTCCAACTGATGAAAAAAACGCATTAAAAGCATTGGGCAAAGAGTCATTCTTGGTATTACTTTTAAACTCAGTTGATGCTCCGGCGTCAGGGAGGACTGGTGCTTTTTTGTTGCGTCCGAGCACCTCATTCAGCACCTTCCAAGACCCCTTCTGATCCCCTGAGATTGATTTAAGTCTTTTTGCAAAATAATTAGCTTTACTGACTCGTATTAAACTTGTTAATTTGTTCTTGTATTTTGTATATCGATCTTTATTAGAGCAATTTGGATTTCTTTTATATTCCTTATAGAGTTTATTTTTTTGCCGGATTGACTTTAGGATTCCATTTGTAATCCATGGATGCCCTCTTTTACTATGTTTTAAAGATTTCTCTGGAATGGTTACATTGATGGAATCATTAATTTCATTGATTAAGGAATTATAGGCCTTGTTGGGGTTTGAAATGTTATAAAATTCATCCCAGGTTTTGTTTTTGAGGTGTAGGGAGAGATTAACGAGGGTTTTGCTATTTAGAACTTTTATCTTCCTCTCTGAACATGAATCTGGTACTCTATTGATCCAGTTAGTGAACAGAGCAACAGGAAAATGATCAGAGATATCAGAATATATTACACCTGACTTGCATCCAGTGTTTTGGATGTTTGTTATTATATTGTCTATAGTGGTCTTGCTTCTCTCTGTAACTCTGGTGTATTTATCAATAGTGGGATAGAATGATGAGGAGCAGAGGGTATTTTGGAAATCAGTTCCTATTAAATCTTCTTTAGATAGGTCTATGTTTAAAGTCGCCCATGATAATACAGTTTTTCTTCATCATATTTATGTAGTTTAACATGTTATCGAAGTGGTCTCTAAATGTTTCATAATTGGAATCAGGTGGTCGATATACTACTCCAATAATTATAGAGCCTTTTATTGTTTTTACTTCTAGAAATAAAGAATCAGAGCAACCATCCTCTACCATGATATCATTTCGTTCCTTTACAGAATATTGAGTACTTACATATATGCATACCCCTCCTCCAATTTCACCCAGTCTGTTTCTAAAATGACCAGAGTAACCATCTAATTTATACATATCTTCAAATGATTGTTCATTCATCCAAGTTTCACAGCACCCAATTATATCAAAGTTAATGCCTGTACTGGCAAGTAACGAAACAAGTTCATCATAATGCTTTTTTAGACTTCTAATATTTAGGTGCATTAAAGAGAATGAAGAGTTGTTCATTTGTTTTAGTTGCTCAACGTCATAATAGTCACAGGTAATACTGGTAGAGGCACGAAGGTAGTGCTCAAATTTCTCAAATTCACTACAGCAATTTATGTCAATTATTCCCATAATTTTATTATGACATATTTCAGATTATATACTTTACTTCCACATATCAAGCATAGGACCATATCCATTTTTATCAAAACACCCAGTGAAATAAGGAAGAAAAAATATAGACATATAATTAAACAAAACAAAAGAGTTTGGATTACTACCATCGAAACATTTCTGGCATTCCACTCTCCCAGTACAGAGACTTAACACCAAAAGTAGTTGTCCTTTGGGGGAAAATGTGTCCCGTAACCCGCATTGAAAAATCACAAGAGTCAAAGGGTTGTAGCACTCATAGTACTCAAGTACAGTTACTTTACCAGTCACGTGAGGGATGAGAGGAATGCTTCAGCCTTGTTGGGATCTTTGAAAGACTTTTGCCCGCCGTTTGCCTTGAAGGACAGGATTGCTGGATAGGCCATTCTAAACCTGATGTCCCGTTTAATAAGCTCCGCACAGACCGTGTTGAATGCCCGTCTAGCAGCCCGGACTTCAGGTGGAGTGTCTGGTACGAGCCGCAAAGTACGGCCCTCATGCTGGGGATTCCCCTGGCGCTTCACCGCTGACATTACCATCGCCACATCTCTGGAGCGTTGAAGTTTCAAGACCACAGCGCGCGGGCGTCCGTCCTCAGGTATTCCAAAGCCCCGATGGGCACGGTCAATGGGTATAGTTGTAACAGGTAGCTGCAGTAGTTTAGGAATGAACGCCTCAAAAAACACAGTCGGGTCATTTCCCTCAGTGGACTCTTTCAGATTTAGTATCCGAATGTTTTTGCGCCTTTGACGACATTCCAGTTCAATTACTTTGTCTCTCAGCTCTTTATTAGCGATCAACAGTGAATCTAGATGCTTCTTAATCGGAGCTATGCCATCCTCCAAGTGTGAAATACGCGTTTCAGCCTCCGCTTGTCTCGTAGCAAGTGCCGCGGTGGTTACAGCGACATCATCGATACGCTTCATCATGTTATCCACCTTGGCCTCGAGTTTCCCAAAGGATTCATTCACGGACAATAGGATGCGTTTTCCCTCTTCTGCCACTGCCGCTGAAATACTCTTTAGCAGAGCTTCAGTCATTGAAACAGAGGGGGTAGCTTCAGAGGTAGCATTAGCATTGGCACTGCCGGTGATAGGAGTAGTACTCAGAAAAGAGTTTCCCTCAGAGGCATCTTGGCCTTTGATTCCACGCTTAGATTGTTTGGACATGATTTAAAGCTTGACGAATTGCGTTCAGTCGGTAGGTGATTTCATAAAATCATTGGAAGGAGAGTGGTGCCAGACGTCTCCTCTCACGTCGCCATTTTAGATTTATATACTGTATACTTGTTTGCACCGAGAGCCAAATCAATTCTGTAGTTTGTGACTTGCAGTTTCACACGTTCATGAACACATCACTCTGGATTGTAGCGTTGGGATCATTTCCATCTATTGTCCCACATTCACACTCACCCTGAACTAATGCACATGTGTGGTAGGGGAAACCGCAGTACCCGGAGGAAACCTACGCAGACAAGGGAAGAACATGCAAACTCCACTCAGAAAGGCCCTGGTCCGACCAGGATTCAAACCCAGAACCTTCTTGCTGAGAGGCAAGAGTGCTATCCACTCAGCCACCGTGTCACCCAATTAAAAATATTTCTATTTACATCTATAGAAAGTGGCCGATATACCAGAAGCTTTCAAAACCGCAGTAATGAAACTCTTCTGAAAGGGATGGGGTTAGGTTAGGGCTCAACCCTAAATTAATTACAAATTACAGACTTATTTCAAATCTTCCTTAAAAAGCTTATTGCCTAAACTATAACTATATCACTAACAAGAAAATAATATATTTGAAATATTTCCATCTGGATCCAGAGTTCATCAAACCACTGAAACAGCACTAATCAAACTAGCTACTATAGCTGCTGATAATGGACTTCAGTGTTGGTTCTGCTGGACCTCAGCAGTGTTGGTTCTGCTGGACCTCTGCGCTGTGTTTGACACAATAGACCTCAACATTCTACTGCAGAGGCTAGAGCAGGACATGGGTCTCAGAGGAACAGCACTGGTTTAAATCCTGCAGTATTTTCATGTGGAGTATAGTATCTCATTTAAAATCCTTCTTTTAAATACAAAGCTATAAATGGTTTGGCTCCCTGCCATCTGCCCTTTTTGGACCAGAGGTTCCATGTGGTTTTTTAACTTTTAGGAAATAAACATTATCTGACGAGGGAACGCCTACTAAAACATGTGTGAGAAAAATGTACACTTTGTTTACAAGTCACTGACAGCATTGCTCACACAAGCTCACTTTCCAAGAAGACTTGCACTTTTTCCACTATACCAGACAATCAAGGGATTTGAAATGGATTTCCCTGAATAGAAAACTTTAGCTGTTGAGTAGAAACTGTGACTGAAGCATCTTTGAGAGCAGCAGCAGCAGCAGCAGCTCGCTCTGCCACTGTCTGCAAGTGTGCGTCAGTCGCTGCTCTTGTGGTGTGTGCGTCAGTCGCTGCTCTTGTGGTGTGTGTGTCAGTCGCTGCTCTTGTGGTGTGTGTGTCAGTCGCTGCTCTTGTGGTGTGTGCGTCAGTCACTGCTCTTGTGGTGTGTGCGTCAGTCGCTGCTCTTGTTGTGTGTGCGTCAGTCACTGCTCTTGTGGTGTGTGCGTCAGTCGCTGCTCTTGTGGTGTGTGCGTCAGTCGCTGCTCTTGTTGTGTGTGCGTCAGTCACTGCTCTTGTGGTGTGTGCGTCAGTCGCTGCTCTTGTTGTGTGTGCGTCAGTCGCTGCTCTTGTGGTGTGTGCGTCAGTCGCTGCTCTTATTGTGTGTGCGTCAGTCACTGCTCTTGTGGTGTGTGCGTCAGTCGCTGCTCTTGTTGTGTGTGCGTCAGTCGCTGCTCTTGTGGTGTGTGCGTCAGTCGCTGCTCTTGTTGTGTGTGCGTCAGTCACTGCTCTTGTGGTGTGTGCGTCAGTCGCTGCTCTTGTTGTGTGTGTGTCAGTCACTGCTCTTGTGGTGTGTGCGTCAGTCGCTGCTCTTGTGGTGTGTGCGTCAGTCGCTGCTCTTATTGTGTGTGCGTCAGTCACTGCTCTTGTGGTGTGTGCGTCAGTCGCTGCTCTTGTTGTGTGTGCGTCAGTCGCTGCTCTTGTTGTGTGTGCGTCAGTCGCTGCTCTTGTTGTGTGTGCGTCAGTCGCTGCTCTTGTTGTGTGTGCGTCAGTCACTGCTCTTGTAGTGTGTGTGTCAGTCGCTGCTCTTGTGGTGTGTGCGTCAGTCGCTGCTCTTGTTGTGTGTGCGTCAGTCGCTGCTCTTGTGGTGTGTGCGTCAGTCGCTGCTCTTGTGGTGTGTGTGTCAGTCGCTGCTCTTGTGGTGTGTGCGTCAGTCACTGCTCTTGTGGTGTGTGCGTCAGTCACTGCTCTTGTGGTGTGTGCGTCAGTCGCTGCTCTTGTGGTGTGTGCGTCAGTCGCTGCTCTTGTGGTGTGTGTGTCAGTCGCTGCTCTTGTGTGTGTGTCAGTCACTGCTCTTGTGGTGTGTGTGTCAGTCGCTGCTCTTGTGGTGTGTGCGTCAGTCACTGCTCTTGTGGTGTGTGCGTCAGTCGCTGCTCTTGTGGTGTGTGCGTCAGTCACTGCTCTTGTGGTGTGTGCGTCAGTCGCTGCTCTTGTGGTGTGTGCGTCAGTCACTGCTCTTGTGGTGTGTGCGTCAGTCGCTGCTCTTGTTGTGTGTGCGTCAGTCACTGCTCTTGTGGTGTGTGCGTCAGTCGCTGCTCTTGTTGTGTGTGCGTCAGTCACTGCTCTTGTGGTGTGTGCGTCAGTCGCTGCTCTTGTGGTGTGTGCGTCAGTGGCTGCTCTTGTTGTGTGTGCGTCAGTTGGAAGCCCACCACATCATCAAAATGATACCGTATCATGATACCATGATGATGAATGATTGACAATTAGCAGGACCAAGAGTCTAGATAATCCACCCGGAAGAACATAATCCTCATATACCTTTTATATATACCTTTAATCATTGCATTTCCTGTGTTTGAACAGTTTGATTCTTCTTTGACAGTTTTGTAAAGTCCTCAGATAACTATTGTTGAGATTTAGGGCATTGAAAAAAAGACTTTGAATTGAATTAAGAGCACATCAAATGATTTATGCAGCGTCAGCTGAGCATGTGTGAGAATCAAATGCTCAAAGTAAACATAATATTGTGTGATTACATTTGCAGAGTGTTTGCTTATAATGTATGATAGAAATGTTAGTTACTAATAAGTTATAAGAGAAAGTTGCAAGATGCTGTTGAAAGCGTCCTCAGGTCTGAAACTTTGATAATCCACCAATCAGAGTGGGGTTTTTAACATACTCGTCTATAGATGGTTTTCTATTCACGTCACTACCCACAATACACACTTCGCCATTTTGTCTGTCTAGCCGCCGCTAGTTGTAGGTAAACAGAGCGCTAAAACATGCCGACTGCCTGCTTGTTTGGGGGTGCAGTAACCGTGCAGATTGTGGGGACATTGTGAAGGTTTTCACGAGCCAGGGGTTGTGACTCTCGACGGACAAAAGAACCCTTTAGTTGGCGAGAGGGATTCAACCCTAACCCTAGCGCGACAGTAGCTCAGTTGGAAGAGCATTGGCCTTTGAGCCAGAGGGTCGTGGGTTCCAGCCCGACTCTCACCACAGACGCAAGACACTTAACCTCTGGGAACAGCTGCCACAGTGGGGCGGCTGTGGCTGTAAAGTGACAAACTGCTGTTGTGTCCTTAGGCAAGACACTTAACCTCTGGGAACAGCTGCCACAGTGGGGCGGCTGCGGCTGTAAAGTGCCAAACTGCCGTTGTGTCCTTAGGCAAGACACTTCACCCACACTGCCTAGAATGAGTCTGGTGTGTGTGTGAATGGTTGGTGGTGGTGGGAGGGGCCGATGGCACAGACTGGTTGCCTCGCTTCTGTCAGTGTGCCCCAGGGCAGCTGTGGCTACAGTAGTTTATCACCACCGTGTTTGGAGAGAGAGGATAATGATGTGAAGTGTCTTTGAGTGCCCAGAAAAGTGCTGTATAAAACCGATGTTTTCTTTCTTCCTTTCTAACCCCGAAAAACGGCAATATAAGATCTGTTCTGACCATTTCATAACAGGTAAGAGCTACATCTGTGCATGTGTGGTTTATATTCAGAGCTGCCATTTGACTGTGATACTATGTATATATACCATGTATGATACCATGAATATATGGGCCAAAAAGCAATGTCCTCTAAATGAATGAGAGGAGGAGGAGGAGGAGGAGGAGGAGGAGGAGGAGGAGGAGGAGGAGGAGGAGGAGGAGGAGGAGGAGGAGGAGGAGGAGGGGAGGAGGAGGAGGAGGAGGAGGAGGTAGGAGGAGGTGGTAGACAGAAGCTTGTATGGCCGTGGGTCAGTGATTTACGGCCTGTGATATCAACTGCTTCGTTCAAAATAAATCAAAGATTGAAAGAAATATTGCATCATATACATCATGACCTTTTTTCAATTGTAAAAGTGTTAAGTGAAAGTAAACCATTTCTGGCGAAGTCCACTGGTCTCGCTGCATTTCATATGGATCCAAATCTCCGATCACCAAGGATCTTTCCTCACAGATTACTCCAGTGTATCAATAACTTAACACGGTCAGTGTCGGCCCAATCCGTGGCTTTAGATGACATGGGGACAATAAAAGCGTCTATCACTGTCACATATTACCAATGTATCACCTATGAGAAAAACAGTTAGGTACCTCAGCTTTAAGGGACACATAAGCAGTATACCCTTAAACATGATCTTGAGGATAACTTTGGTATTTCATAGTTCATAACTGAAGATCCTCTAATACACTGCCTCAGTCCCAGCCCCTCAGGCAGGCGATGCTGCTCCTCACTGACCCACCGGGACACCCAGTAATTAATCCCCATTACAATAATTACCCAATTTCAAAGTCAAAAAGGAGCACCTAAACTTTTGTTTGCAATCTGTATCAAGACATATTTTAGTCTTTTTTCTTTTTCTTGGAACGGATAAAAAAAGATCTGTTCTATTCTAGAATGTGGAATATGTTGAATTTATAGAATATGGAATATTCTATTCTCGACAGCTAAAATAAGTAGATATAGATAAATGCAATACAATTAAAAAAGGCACGATTTTTAAACGTAAATGTAATGAAATCAAAGATAGGAGCACACATTTCACATGATCTTGAAAGCGGGTCTTAAGACCAACAATATCCAGCCCTATATTTTACACTTACCTGCCTCTTTAACATGCACCCCTCAGCACACTGCCATTCAAAGTCAGTCAAAAGGACGGCTCGGGTGACGTAAAGGCCAAAACCATAGACTGGAAGTCCCACTGCAGCTCATAAAGACAAAATCCACATAGGAGAGCAGGATTATGTCCAAGTGTGGGTGTGGAAGCAGAGAGCAAGGGAGGGATGGAAGGAATGGAGCAGGTGCGCTGTTACCTGGGATAGTGTTGGACTTAATCTGAGATCTGTGCAGTAGTGTGTGGGTGGAGGGGGCAGGGGTGGGCTGAGGTGAGGGTGGGGTAGTGGCCCAATAGGTAGTGTTTATAATGAGCTAAGAATGTAGAAATAGTTTGAAGATCTAATTGTGGGACTAATAAAGGTAGTGTTTAATGATCGTTCATTCATTAAACAATCTAAAACATATTGACTTTGGCATGTCGTGTTTAAGAATGTGAACTGATTTGATGGGTAGGTAAGGCTTTCCCCATTGTTTCCCTGTCTTGTTTGATCTATGCAGTATTGACCCGGGACAACAACGAGAAAGGCTGGTGTGTTTGGACCCATGGTACTGTTCACCACATGTCAAAAAAAGGGTTAAAACAAACTTACGACTATCCAAATAAGTTTTATAGAGTCACAGCGTAATGCACCCAGGATCTAAAAGACTATTGTACACTGTGTGTCCTTTAAAACCTGCACATTGGTAACAATTGGTAACCATTGTCATGAAATCAAACTACTTACAGGTCCAATCTTTGGGAAAACTGCCCAGTACTTTGAAACTTTGATTCCGGATCAAAATGATTTCGATCTCCAAATCCCCTGATCCAAGTCTGTGCATCTCAGGTTTCTATTCTGGTATTTCACACTGTGTTGGATTGGATTAAAATTATTCTGACATTTCCAAATGAAAAACAACCCACAGGAGCGGCTCTTAACAAGCTCTGAAACACGACTAACCTGGTCATTCATGCTCGTAACCAACAAAACACAAACAGAGCACCAAACCCAACTGTGAAATGTGACACTGTGCCGGACAGAGCCAAATCCTGGTTGGATCTAAATAAACCTCATATGGAAACATTATTTACATGGACTAGATTGTTATTAGATCAGGCGGTTGAAATGAGTTTCTCCAGAGTGGCTGGGTGCTCCCACAGGCCTAAAATAAAACAAATAAAATGTACTTTAACTACAGTCTCTCTATAATTTGAGGGTTTATACTAACAAGCATTCATTAAAAGTCAAATCCGTAAGGTAATGTATAATAATATATAACTTGTGAACATATGCCTTGACCATGAGTTCACATTCTTCCATGACTGGATACAAATGCTGCTAACGATTAGGAACTACCCATTGATTCTGGCAGTAATGATAAAATACAGCCATGGTGCAGCTTTGTGAGCAGATACTCTTGTGATATGACATCTCTAGAAGATCTCTGGACCTAGACACGCCGCAGAGGTCGACCTCTGTTGAAAACTTTATGTAACTACATGAAAAGCTGTTACCTCAAACTCATCTGTTTAAAACCTACCCACCACTTACGCCCTGTGTTTTTCTGACATTGCAAGTCAGTGAGTTGGATTGAAAATTCCAAAACGCTGTAAACATCCCTTTAGACATCACCAGTTCAAGTTATTGGTATCTACTTTTATTCCTTTAAATACTCTTTAGAGCTTTTGGGTATTTTCCATCTGCACTGTGGGTGCTGTCCAAAAAGTTTTGAAGGATCTGGAAAGCTAACATTTCTCCTAATGCTTCAGAAATAGATTTTGTCAGCAGTCACATTATCAATATATACAAGGAAACCAATTCCCTTCCATTGGCCTAACCCTGTACACAGTAGTATCACTCTGGGACTTGGGGACAAAAACAACAAGTGCAGGGGCCCACTACTGTTACAGCATTAACATGAGTGCGCTTTCAATCAGGGACGCCTCATTTGCAAGACATTTGATTGGTGCTGATTTTGGAGCTATCGTCGGGGCAGATCTCAGATGATTCTCTGCGCTGGACTCTGGGAAGGACAGGCCAGTCAGACAGGCCTTTGTGAGGGGTGAACAGTGGAGGTAACAGGAGAGACAGAGGTGCGGGACGGTGTGAAAGCGCCAGGGTCCAAGGTCAGACCACAGGCCACCATTAAACACCTGCAACCTCCAGATACCTGTGTGTGTGCGAAGAGCTCTCAGTGAACAGGGCCAAGACATTCAACTGAAGACTCTTTGTCCTGAATGATGATGGCACATGATGGGGCCTTTGGGGTAAAGCTGAGGGTTGGTGACTCATACTGTGTCTCCAAGATTACATTCCTTTGTGTTGGTTGTTCCTGTGAGAAAAAGCTATAGGTTTAGGCCAATTCTAACAATTTCAACATCCGGAGTAGGGTGGTGAGGGTTACTACTAATTGTAACCCATCTTTTTGGTTTTTCGGGGGTTGAGGTTTATTGTTTGTTCGATTGCATTTTAGTGATGGACTATAGACGTTTTTACATTGGGGGTGGACATTTCGCAGTCACATACAGTATGAATAGAGCTGGCCTTTCTCAGGAGGGACAACTGCACTTTAGCATCGAGGGGGTGCTAAAGTAGACCTAAATGATGTTAGTTTTGACTGTAGGCAGCAGCTATGTGTTTTACGTGTAATCAGTAAGTCTAC